CAGTTTGTAAAATATTTATGCCAAACTAAGTGATTTGACACTTTTTAGTCTGATGTAGACAACTCTGGTAAGAACATTTGTTAACTACATAATTGTGTTCATTGCTTTCCAAAAGTCATACAAAGTGACCCAAAAGACAGTTCTTTTACTCTTTTGCTTGAACAGGAGGTCAGCCATGAATATTACATCATTTGAGAGACACTTTGGTACAAACTTGCATGTGAAAGACAGGTAACTTCAAAGTATACAGGAACAAATAAGCAGATAATTTTAATAAAGTAATATGATTAATAAGTACAAAGTAGGTGTTTCACATGCAGGCTGAACTATGTTTTGTTTGGCTTATATATTGCTTTACAAAAACTTAAAAGCTAAAAATGAGAAGCTCTGACACTAACTGCTTTACCTGCCCTCCTACAGACAGTCAGGTGGAGGTGAGTTAAGGCCGTTCCCTGTAGATGGGGCATGTAGTCTTCAGTTTGTCTTTGTCCTCCTCGTTATGTGTCCATCATAGCCAGCAAATAAGTTAGACTCAGGATTTTACCTGCTTTCAGAGGAATGAATGAAAGGGAAATTGCCTGTCTTTGACCCTTACTGGTAGTAAGAGGTATTAAAGATGATCCACTATCTCAATGAAATAAATGAGATTAAAATAATAATATTTGTTTTATTATAGTTTTCCATCACTTGAGATTCTTGAACTATAGTTTGGGCATGTTTTTTAGGTGACTTTTGAACATGAAATGAAGATGGTTCTGGTAGTAGCACTTAAGCTGTGACCCTTCTCATTGAGTATATATTCATTATTTGTAATAGGAAATCCCTCTCCCCAAATTGGTGGATAATAATTAATTTTGGAGCTTTTATTTCTAAAGTGAAAAGAGTTGCTCAGGATTACAAATTAAGTGGCTCTGAGTAAGATGAAATTTTAATATCTTCTATTTATGAAAAAAGGAAGCAGTTTCTAAAATCTCTTTTTTAATTTGAGCACTTATTAAACTGTGATTTAAAATGGCATTATTTGAAGTTAAAATTAGTGAGAAATGTTCATCTGTTCTGTATCATGAAGAAATTTAGCCCTTTAGTGCCTTGCTTGTCAATAAAATGTATTTCAATGTATTTTTAGTACAGGATAGTAATGACTGATTTTATAACATTACTTTTCCAAAATCTCCACCAGAATGGAAAAATGTGTGCTTTTGCTGTTCTGGTCAACATGAGCTCTCTGGGGTTTGTTTCTTCTTTAAGGTCTATATGCCTTTGGGTTTTACGTGCTCAGAGATGGTACGTGGGAACTGATTATAATTCTCTTCCCTCCAGGTCCGTCGTGCAGATGTGTACAGGAATCAGATCTGGCATGCTTGCTCCATTTTTTCAATTCCTTTCTTTCCCAAAATTTCTCTCATTAAGGCTGCTGAATTTTGTGTTTTGTTCTTTCAGTTACTGAATGACTGATGCATCTTGAAGCCAATTTGGGAATTTGACTTTTATTATTTATTCCTTTTTATTTGTTTTATTCATTGATAGTGTTGGAGTTTTAAATGTTTACAAAAACAAGATGAACTTGTAAGTCCCAAGTTCTGGTTAATTTAGATTCAGTCCTTCAGTGAAAATGGTACAGTATTTATAGAAGGATCACCAAGATGTCACTGGGGAGAGCTGTGAATGGGTCTCCTGTTCCTTGATAGGAGTATAGCTGTAAGGCTCAAATCCTTTGATTTTTCAAAATATGAAGGGTAAGGGAGACTTGTAAGTTGTGGAAATTGCGATTGAGCCACATTTTAGAATTTGTTATATTCAGGAGGCATTTTACAGGCATTATTTGAAAGAAATCACATGATATTTGACTTACACATATATAATGTCAAATTTCCACCTCTTTATGGCTTCTGCCTTTACAATTTTTGTTAGTGTTTCCCTTTTTATATTAGGTAGGGATAGGTATTTTTACTGTTTTTACAATTTTTGAATCTCTAATTATTAGTATTAGTACTCTGATCTTTTACTATGAAACTAGACATGTTTGTTTGTTTTGTTTTGTTTTTTTAAGATTTTTTAAGTTTTTTTAAGAGAGAGAGAGAGAGAGCACTCCGGACAAGGGGCAGAGGAAGAGGGAGAGTATCTTAAGCAGACTCTGTGCTGAGCATGGAGCCAGATGCGGGGCTCGATCTAATGACCATGAGACCTGAGCTGAAACCAAGAGTCAGAAGCTTAACCGACTGTGCTATCCAAGTGTCCCTAGATATATTCTTCTTTAATATATTGTGGAGCTCACTGATGTGGAGTTTGCCTAGTTGTCCCTTTTTGTGTGTGTTGTTAAAATTGTCTAGTGGATCAGGAAGTTGATTTGTACAGATACTGGTTTATGTTTGTGAGAAGATAGTATTTCTAACATAGTAATTGTAGTTGATAAATAAAAACTGTATGTTGTAATGAAAAGACTGATGAACTGGGAGTCAGGAGGCATTCTTGTTTAAACTTTGTGTCACTTAAGTTTCTATTTTTGGGAAGTTCTGTTAACATCTTTGGGCCTTCTTTTCCTCATCTGTAGAACTGAAGAGGTAAATTTTGCTTATTTTAAAGATTTATTCCAGATCATCTCACTTCCTATGATCTTTTAAATTCTAAAGACTTGCCTTTCTAGAAAAACAAAGTATTTTATTCATCATTGCATACTATTTCCACATTGTGTAGGAATTTTGAAAGTTATGTTTTTGTAATTGATCAACATTTAAGATATCACCCATATTTTTGTGTACTGTTGCTTTCCAAAATCCATCTCAACCTATACTCATCTATCATTTCTTCCCCATTTTCCAGCCAGAATATTCCAGGTTATTACCTCTAGAAGTGCTTTACCCTTTTTACTTTTATGTTGTTGCTCATACTGTTCCCTTTTGTGCACCCTTTCCCATCCCCTAGTCACTTTGAGCCCCTGTAATGTTTCATTTATAATATTTCATTTAATATTTCATTATAATATTTATAATATTTCATTTTGACCTTGCATGTTTATATATTTATTGTGTTGTGCTGTTTGTGAGGCAGTGAACTCCTTGAAGGCAGGTGTTTAATTTTCATCATTTTACTAATCTTATTACTGACTCACATAATAACTTTTCACACAAATAGAGACTTAATATTTCTAAAACTGAATTTGTAAGATGATTAATGACATATAGTCAGTGGCTAGGATCAATGAAATTTAACAATATAATAAGGAAATTAACAGCCTTTTGAATTAAAGCAGTGTTTTAACCATCTATGCTGACTGTAGACATTTGTATTCCCTGGTCACTTATGTACTGTTATTACTCTCTCCCCTCCATTCATCCTTACTCGTGTACATACTTAACACTTATGTTTTTTCTCTGTAACCCAGTTAACTACTTGCCTTCTTTCATCATTGTAGTTTAGCACTGCCAGGGTCTTAAACTCAATACTATATAATTTTTTAATACATTCTTGCTTTGATAAGTATACTTTAATCTCCTTGGTCTTGTTCTTAGGCTTTTCAACTTTAATCTCTTATTGTTCTTTTGCATTCTTTGATTTACATGTCTTTTCTCTCTCTTTTTTTTAAAGATTTTATTTATTTATTTGAGAGAGAGAGAATGAGAGATAGAGAGCACTAGAGGAAAGAGGGTCAGAGGGAGAAGCAGACTCCCTGCTGAGCAGGGGGCCCGATGCGGGACTCGATCCTGGGACTCCAGGACCATGACCTGAGCCGAAGGCAGTTGCTTAACCGACTGAGCCACCCAGGCACCCTACATGTCTTTTCATTTGCTCCTTCATTTTTGAGAAATTATTCAATCTATGTTTCTTAAAGGCACATGCTCTTTGGTTGCTGTCTCCAGGTAGAGTTTACACTGACAAGTGTTTTAGGATGAGTCAGTCTGTTAGGGATTGATGGTGAATTGCTGGCCATCAGGAATGAGCTTGAATTAGTTCTGTCAGCCTAACACTCCTGTATCTTCTCAGTGGGAGAATGTCTGCAGTGGCATTGCTGGCACCAGCCTTTGGTTAAAGGAGTTGATACTGATTATAAAATATGTGCGATTGGTGGGGGTGCCTGGCTGACTCAGTCAGTAGAGTGTGCAACTCTTGATCTCGGGGTCATGAGTTTGAGCCCCACGTTGGGTGTAGAGATTACTTAAAAATAAAATCCTTAAAAAAAGTAAAAGATGTGAGATGTTAATGGGCATTTGTACAGGTGGACTTTTGGGGGATGATACCTGAATTCTAGATTTTATCAAAAGAATTTTAGAATGCCTGAAATGGGCATGAATGAATGGGTAGAAATGATTCTTTCCCTGGATTCAATAATCTTTTTACTCTTGAATTAGTTATTGTCTACAACAGATGTGTGGTTGGTTTAGACTGGATAAAAGATCAAAAGGCAATAAGACAATGAGTAAAAAAACTGAAAAGAGAACAGGAAAAGTAAAAGGTATTAGCTAAAAAGTTGCCTATCTTTGTGCCACTTTAAGTCAATAATATTTACTAAAGCATTCTCAGGAATGTTACGTCCAAGAAAGGGAACTTGAGAAGATAATATGAGAAACTAGCAGACTGAGGAAATTGTCAGGGATTAAGTTTAAATCTGTGCTATTTTTAGTTCTATTTTTATAGCACATCTCAAATCTCTAAGAACTTCTGTATTAACAAATAATTTAAGTCAGATATTATATTTGCATAATAGTAAGAGTAGCTCATATATTCGTTAAGAAATATTTTGATATTTAAATAGCTTTTCTCAGAAAGCATATGGATAATTTTATTGACACAACATCCCTTTAAGGATACAAAAGAGGGAAAATATGCATTGCCCATTCTGTTCTATCAGATATGGTAAATAAACAGAATATCCAGAGCTCTTTCCCTGGTATTTATAGTAGAAGCTTTTTATAGTACAGAACACAATTGCATGTTGATTTAAGAATATAATTCGGTTAATTTTGAATTTAGAAAATATTAAGCCATTTATTTTATTTTAACAGGTATCTTTCAGATGAAGGCATTGAAGCTTGCACAAGTTCTCCTGACAAAGTCAATGTAAATGACATCATCCTGATTGCTCTCAATGTAGGTTTTGTTTATTAACTTATGAACATTTTAAATCTAGAAGCTTTCAAAATGTCTTACAGAATAAACTGGAATTTAAGATAAGTAATATGGAGGACATCTTTTGTTTTTACTGTGTATTTTAAGTTGCAGTGATGTTTGTTGAATTTGGTAATCTATCAGCCCAGTTTTTAGAAATATGTGTTTCTTATTAGATCTGTTATACAGAATCCAATAAAAAAGGAAAAAACGCAATTAGAATTCCCATTTCTCCCCAGTGATCAGTTATAGAATTTTATAACATTTACAGTAGATGTATAATAGCAGAAAATACTGATCATATGTATTAAAACAAATCATTTCATTAACATAGGAACTCTAGCTAGGTTATAGCTTTTTGACAGTTGTATTTTTTCTTTCAGAATAACTTTTCCTGTTGATAAAAGTAATGTATATTGTAGAACACTTCAGAAAACAAAAGTAAAATAAGAAGATTAAGGCCATCCGTAATTACAGTTATGCTGTGTACAGATCTCTCTCCTTCCACCTACCTCTATAGCTGTATCTTTTCCATAATTGGGATTGGCTTTTGGATTTTTTTGAAGAATTATAGAAATTGTTTGAAATTTAGGTGTAAGTAAATGAATATTCGTTTTCAACCTTGCAGTTGCCCCTTTGGGAGTATTTTCATATTATCTTTATAATAACAATCTATTAAATTTATAATTGAATCTATTAAATTAAATTTATACATTATGATAGTCAACAAAATTCGTAAGAGAATTACTTATTCTCTTATTCATAAGAGAATGACAGATCCACCATAGCACTGCAACACAGGTAATGTGAAGCAGAAATGGCAGCAACTGATAAGAACATTTAAAATATAAATAAATATGTAACTGTATATAACTTTTTCTTTTTACATTAATTTATATACAGCTAAATGGACTTAAACAGATAAAATTTATGTTTTGATTCTGTCATTTTTTTCAGCTTCTTTGAATTTTATTCAATAAAACTAACAAGATCATTTTTTGTTTCTGAACAAAGAGTGCAGGTTTTTAATAAAAGACTATAAAATTTTTTAAAGTAAGCTTTAGAAATTATGCATGTTGTCTATGTCTACAAATGGAAATATTCCGTATACACTTTAACTTTTTTTGACTTGCACCCTAATAAGTGAATTCTACTTTCAAAAAATGTTGAAAAAACTCTATTAATTAAAAAAAAATTCTAAAGATGATGAGGAATAGATTTTGTGACAGTCTTCTGCTATTCTTTTTCATATTTATATACTTAGGTAAATAGCAATGAGCTATCTATAATTGGCTGTGAAACTTTAAATAAAATAAATCAAGACCAAGTATTTGTCCTATGTACATAAGAGGTACATGATGACCATTATTTTATGAATTAATTTGTCTTTATAATTTTCTCTGAAATATATAGTTGAATACTCCAATCTAAGATATCATGCCATACAATAGGAAAAAAAAATACTTTTAATTAGAATGAACTCTAGACCAGACAGCTAATTTACTTTTCAAGCTTATCACCTTTAAATAAAGTCAGGCATTTGTAGTATTTCTGTTGAATTTTTTTTCAAATTTGAAAGATTAGGGGCTATTAGTCACTAGTTGAAAAAGGCTTGCATTATTGATTCTTATTATATATAGCTTATTACATGTTGGACGAATAATCCATGCATGAGCTTTCTTGTGTCCCCCTCCTCCTGTGCAGGACACACTGAGCTTGTTCCTTTATCTAGCAATGAAAATGCAATAATATATGTACAGGTTTTCCCCGCTATTCGAAAGTAGAGCATTCCTGGGGCACCTGGGTGGCTCATTCAGTTGAGCATCTGACTCTTGATTTTGGCGCTGGGCGTGGAGCCTGCCTAAGATTCTCTTTCTCCTTCTCATTCTACCCCTCTAGCTCATGTGCGTGCTCTCTCTCTCTCAAAATAATAAAATTAAAAAAAAAAAATGTAGGGCATTGCTGCGAAACCTTTTGTAAGCCAAAATGGTGTAAAATGAAGAAGTAATTACCATTAATTTATATGGAAAGATGTTAGAGCATTCCCAGACTCAAAAAGTAACCTCTCAGGTTTTTCTGATACCTTAGGGCATATCTCGTTAAAGGATGCACAAAATAAATCAAGAGAAAGCACAGATGCTTACAACACAGTTCAAAGCTATTGCAGCTGGATGCTGAGATGCTGAGTGTAGTTCCTGGGGAAGAAGCTTAGCAGTGCCCCTCTTGCTGTTTGGGGTACATTCTGTTTCTATAAAGGCTCACTGTGACACAACCACTGAACACTATTTTTGCTTTTCTCCTTTACCTGTAAAATGAAAATCTTCGAATTTCTTTCAGTTAGCAAAAACTCATGTAGGTCTTTTGTAAAAATAAAGTGGCCTAATGTGAACTTTTGAAAAGTAAGGCTAACTGTACAGTGTTTCTGCCCAGGGAAGTCCACAGAGACTAGCACCCAAGGTGTTTATTGGTCTTCTTATGAGGGTACTCTCTGCCTAAGTGAAACAGTTCTAAGACTCCTCCCTCCCCCAAAATCAGGTGTTCACCATAAATCACATTGTTTATACAAATAGTCTAGGCAGTGAACCACATTTTCAGTTAGGAAATGGTTCAAGTACAAAGTTCCCACATGCCAGCCTAGGGCCAACCTTCTAAAAAGAGCAGCCTCAGAGCTGCTGTGTAAATCATTTCTGTATAGATTTTTATGTTGAAAAGGAGGTTTCTTAATTTTTTACTCTATGGAATGGGAAGTAAGAATATTAAGAAATGATATTAAAATCCAGCATGTAGTTTTGGGCTCAAATACCTTAATTATTCAGAAGTGAATTAAGTGATAGCTTGGTCTTAAATTACTGAATACTACGCATTAGTAAAAATTTAAAAACAGATTTTTAAAAATTTCTTTTAGGATTCTGTATAATATAAAATGATTTGCCAAATAGATATTCCATTGAACTTACTAGAATAAATAGCGATCTTTTGTATGTGTGCACACGTGCATGGGTATTTATAGATTAAGTATTTCTCCTGCATAATTTTTTATGTCCAATATAAATGTATTTTTGGACCCAGTTTTACTAGTGATCCTGATATAATGGCATCTGAATCATAAAATTGCCTTTGCAGTACTTATAAATTGATTTTGATTTTAAGATGTTTAAAGATTTGGTAGGTCATTTTCATCTTGTTAAAAGAATAATGAAATATTCATTATATTGTGCTTAGCACTTTGAAAGTTATGTAAACTTTGAATATATTGTCTTCCTTTAGCCTGATAACAACTTTATGAGATAGGCTTGGTGATATTTTTTTCCATTTTATAGAGGAATAAATTAGCTGGATTTAGAGAATTTGTTGCAGTGCCCATGGTCCTATTAGTTAATTACAGTTTGTAATGACTCAGAGTTTAGGATTTTAGTTTAGTGCTTATTTCTACTTTATATTGATGCCTCATTTTAGTTTAAATTAAATTTCATAATTATTGCTAAAAACCAGAAATGAGGGACCATGGTATATCATAAAATTTGTATATATTCTGTTTCGCATACATATTTAAATATTTCAGCCTCTGAGTTATTTCAATATAATGCCTATATTTTTATGAACTGTGAGTTGTATTACTGACTTGATTATTCATGTTCAGATGATAACAAAATATACATATCTTAAATTTAACATTCATTAAGTGCTTACTCTTTGCAATTCATTGTACCCAGTACTTCATGTGTATTAACATTAGGAATAAAACAATCCTAATATATGGAAGGTTAATATAAGAAAATATTTTTTTCCCACCTGTTACTCAGTATTTTCAAAGTGAAAAGGCATGCAACTCAAGGTATAATTTTATATATATATACATATATATATAAACATATATATAAGCTTTGTAATTCTTTTACTCTGTGATTGGATGGAGGCTGCAAAGACTATAAAGCTAATCCGTTATTACACAAGTGTTTTGGATTTGGGGCTTAGTGTGCCTGGCAGTTCCACTTGGTGAGTTTTAGCTTAGAAGTGACCCTTGCATTACATTGAGAAATAAAATATGAATTATGGTAGTAAAAGTCTGGAAAGATCTGTGGGGATTGTATAATTTCTATGCTCATTTCTTAAGCTGACCACATACTGGTATTTCAAATAAGAGGACATTCTGTTATTTTAGGTGATGAAAGAAGACTATCCTACTTCTCTCCATGTCTTCATTTTATGTCACAGTTATTTTAATCATCTAGTGTTTTCCCCTTAAGTCTAACATGAAGTTCTGTCTTACAGTTTTTGTGATTAAATGCACTCTATTTTCTTTTAGTTTGCTTTTAAGGAGATGAAGAGCTGTTGTTATATTTTAAGGAAGAACAGAACAATATAAGTTTAGTTACCAATCTAACCTCACACTCTCAGTCATCAAAATAATTTCTTAGCTTAAATAATTAGGCCTTCATGAGTATTGATTTTCCTCTGAGCAAATTTCTTATTGTTCCTTTAGTTTGTACTTCCTAAAGAGGACAATATCCTTCAAAGTTCTGCTTTTTTGTAAATTGTATAGTTCAAGTTTTGTTTTTAAATCAGAAATGCTACAACTTTGTTTCTGTTAGTTCTTATGTTTTCCTTTTTATGTTTTGCTTTGGTTTGCTGAGAAATATGTACTTCTGCACTTTCATATAGTTAGTCATTTGTTCACTGACTTCGATTTCTGTAATTTGTTTAAGCAAATGATACAGATTTTTACTACAATGAAGTCTTCCTATTCTTGCTGTTGCAGTGGTATTTGTTCCCTAGGATATTTGTGTGTTATATAGCTTTGTTATGGGTATCACAGCCAATAGAATAATGTGTTTTTGTGACTCTTCATATGAATGTTATGTAGGATTCAGTTATCAAAAATATATTCGTTCTGTTCATGTACTAAAAGTAGTCAGTTGGTTTGGGATTGGGGCATTAATTTTTTTAGTAAGACTACAGTTTATACAAAATCAAGTATTAGGTCTTAATAGAGAAGATTTAGTAGTTAAGTTATTGAAAGGAATATAGCCAGAATTAAGGCCTTGAACCTTACTATTCAACTTACCAGTGTACTTTAAACAAAATATGTACGGGACTATGTTATTTGAAAAGATCGATTATATGTATAGATCTCATAATCAGCTAAAAGATACTGATTTAAATTTTATTCTACAGGCCTTAAGTAATTTCATCTTTTGTTTATGAGTGAGATTAGATTTAGATTTACTCTTCTCTATAATTATATTTTAATAATAATATTTTTATTTTAGACAGACTTAAGAACAATTGGCAAGAAATTCCTCCCCAGTGACATCAATGGTGGAAAGGTAGAAAAGGTAAAGAAAAACATTAACTTCCTAAATTATGCTAACTACAATAAATACGAACATTTACTAAATTACTGGAATTATTTTTTGTCAATAAAGACTGCAACTGCAAAATACTTTAGAAGTGAATAGGTCACAGTTATCCTTATAGTGACTTTCTATACAAATGGAAAATTATTGACTTGAACTTTTAAACTTTTGGTGACTTTCCAACATTTAAAAAAAAACTTCGGCTTCAGGAATTAGAATTATGGCACACTTATATGTGAGACTTACCAGATATTGCTGGTATACAGGACAAGGACCTTTTTGTATCTTTTAATTTTAGTTACCTATTTCCATGTTTATTTAATGAACTTATTTGTATAAAATTATAAGATATTGTGAGATACTGTGAGAAGATATTAGGAGCAATTTGTCAAAGCTGTGCATTTGGTTATTGCTTTCATTTTTGTACCACATATATATATTAGTGTATAATATATATATAATATGGTATATTATGTATGTCATATATATTAGATAATTTCAAATATATATATATTCATGTTGTGAATTTTTTCAGTGATCTTTTTAAAATCCAGGGATACAATTTTTAGATACCAACTACTCAATCTTCTACTTTTCTTTAATTTATATTCAACTTCTTCTTTTTATTTTAAAATACATGTGAATTGTCTCAGCCAAGAATTTTATGTGCTACTGGTCACTTTTTGAACTATTAAAGAACACCATTATCTATTATTTATTTATTTATTTATTTATTTATTTATTTATTTATTTATTTATTTTAGATTTTATTTATTTGACAGAGAGAGCACAAGCAGAGGGAGAGAGAGGGAGAAGCAGGCTCCCCGCTGAGCAAGGAGCCCAATGTGGGACCCGATCCCAGGACCCTGGGATCATGACCTGGGCCAAAGGCAGCCACTTAACCAACTGAGCCACCCAGGCGTCCCTTTTTTTTTTTTTTTTTTTTAGATTTTATTTATTTGACAGAGCACAAGCAGAGGGAGAGAGAGGGAGATATAATTTAAATAAATACTTTCAGTGTGTATGTTTTGTGTTTGGATAAATACTCTTACCATTTTAACACTTCGGTATTTAAAATAACTATCAGGGGGCGCCTGGGTGGCTCAGTTGGTTAAGCAACTGCCTTCGGCTCAGGTCATGATCCTGGAGTCCTGGGATCGAGTCCCACATCGGGCTCCCTGCTCAGCGGGGAGTCTCCTTCTCCCTCTGACCCTCTTCCCTCTCGTGCTTTCTATCTCTCATTCTCTCTGTCTCTCAAATAAATAAAATCTTAAAAAAAAAATAAAATAGCTATCAGATATTTTAAATTTTAGCTAATTATAAAAGATCTATAATGTAAACGTTTCTCACATTTTCTGAATATTAATCCGTTTATGTAAATGATGGTAATCATTTTGCTGGAAAGAACCGTAAGAGAATTTCTAATCTACTCTTGTTTTTGAGACAGATGCTCAGAGAAGAGGTTCTGTATACTCCTCAGCAATTCATTTTAATATTTAAAAACACTTTGTGTCAGCAAACTTTAATTATATTTTAACCTAAATTTCTTATGTTACAACTTAAAGTTCATAATGTCTTCTTGATCTTCTCTCAGGGGAAATGGAGAACATCTGCTTACTTTTCCTAGGGAATAATTCTTCATATACTTGAGGACGTGTAAATGTCATTGCCACAGGTTTCTTTTTGCTAAAGCTAGTTATCTTGATTCCTTTGTTTATTCTGTCTCAAACTTTTCATTCAACTTCATTGTTCTGAGAGTTCTCTCCAGTTTCTGTACATCTCTTTTTTTGGTTGTGGTAGTAGTTCTCAGACTTCATTGTGCACCAGAATCACCATGAAGCTTGGGTAAAACACAGATGGCCAGCTCCTCACCCTCTACCCCTGACTTCCCCAGTTTCTGATTCCATTTAACTAGGATAGAGCCTGAGAATCTGTATTTTGGACAAGTTTCCATGGGATGTTGATTCTGGTGCATACTTAGCAAGTTTCTGGACTATGGAACCCAGATTAGGCAGCAGTCTTGGAAAGGTCTGACGAGTGCAACTGTTTTTTACAGGAAAGTGACTAACATCAAAGCAGTAATCCTCATTGGAGGTAGATTAAAGGAGTATAGAGAGGAGTCTTCAAACTTTTCCTGAAAGAGGCCAAAGTAAATACTCACATGGTGTGTATTGTTATTATATTTACTGAGTCTTGGATAATACCATTTTTAGCATTTGGGAATTTGAGAGTGGAAAGGAAGAATGGAGAGCCGGTTGATCTGTGATCAGGTAAGAAAGATTGTAGGCCTGTAGTTAGAAGACAGTTAATCCTGGATACACTGAATTTACATCTTTTTTGTTCTAAGACAAATCTGGGGCCTTCAGAAAGCACTGTCATCTGGAGTTTGAGACTGGAGTCTTAATAATTGCTTTTAGTTACCACTGTTAATTTGGGAGAAAGTAGAAGGGCAAAAAATGCAAGGAACTTAATCATTAATTAATATAGTAGTTTTGCTCAGGTTCTTTTCTCTTTCCTTCCATTCTCTTAACATTATTTTGCAGTTCCTATATTTTCTCCCTAAGGTTGCCCATGACCTTAATGCCAAGGTTTCAGACATTTTAAAAGTGCTGAAGGGGAATGGGGTGCCTGAGTGTCAGTTGAGTGTCTGACTCTTGATCTCAGCTCAGGTCTTGGTCTCAGGGTCGTGAGTTCAGCCCCCACTCCCAGCATACTTAAAAAAAAAAAAATGCTGAGGGGGAAGATGACTGTTTTCTCCAGGCTTCCAAGACTAAGCCAGGTCTTCCCATAGGCAGTTTATGTTTGAGGTTTAGGCCATAAAGATTGTGAGAGTGGAGGGAGGTGTGGTGGGGAAACCATCTTTTGCAACTTCTTTTCTGGGTGTTTTAGGGCAGGTTTTTTTGCATTTCTTAGATATTACAAGGTCTTGGAACCGTGTCTTATAAGCTAAAAATCATAGAACAAAGTCATAACAAAAAAGAAGTAAAACTATTCTTTCTAAAAAGCTGTTTAGTATTTTTCATATCTTTTTAAAGTTTAATATTTTGCAGTAGTCATTTTCATAGCTTAAGCCTCTGAACCAAAGTATAGAATTATAAAATATAGGTTAATGTAAAAATACTTTGTTACCAGTCCAACTATGTGATGACCTTATGCATTACTGTGGAACCCTAAAAAAGAAAGGCTTTCAGGTCTGTATTTATTTTTTCTTCTGAGTTTTAAAAATGACAGGTTGTATATGCCTTTTTAAACGTCAAACTGTAATTAAAGACCTAATTTTACAAATGGGACTGCTCAAGACTTTGGCAGTACCGACATCAACCACAAGATGGCTCCACTGCCTTAAAATTCAAAGTGAATGCCCTTTCACCATCAGTCCAGAAAATTAGATGTTTTTGAAAAGAAAAATAATTAAAAAAAGTTTTAAGTTTTAATTTAAATAAAATTATATCATGTTTTATGTATGTTAATTTATTCTGTGGTAAATAATACAATTTGTCAGTGTTCCTTCTGGTGAGTTATTAAAATTAAACATGCACTCTTATTTTTCAGAACAATGGATTACTCTGAAATATTGATTTAACTATGCTTTATTTACAAGTGTTTATTGGCAAATATTAATAGAACTTCTGTGGAGTTTAAAAATGACTGCACAGGGGCGCCTGGTTGTCTCAGACGGTTAAGCGTCTGCCTTCGGCTCAGGTCATGATCTGGGGGTCCTGGGATCAAGCCCCATATCGGGCTCCCTGCTGAGCGGGGAGCCTGCTTCTCCCTCTGCCCCTCCCCCTGCTTGTGCTCTTCCTCTCTCTCTCTCTCTCTTTCTGTCAAATAAAAAATAATCTTTTTAAAAAAACGCACAAAGCAATATATAGTAGACAGATACTCTTCTGATAATTGAAAAACAACCTGTTCACCTTACATTTTTTTTTTTTTTAATTCTCCCAGGGGGAAAAAAGCTAAAAAGGTGAAGGATAGAGGTGTGGAAATAGGCAAATGATACGCTAGTAGAAGGGTTACTTTTGACTGGGGGTCCCACAGTGTTTTCCTCATATTTCATTTGCTGTAATTGCTCTGAACGATTGAATAAGAGAAATTGTGTTCTCTGCTATACTTTGATATACAAATTGATGCTTTTCACAGGGCATCTCATATTTGGGAGAACATATTCAAGATTATGTCTATTTCTCACTTAATAGGCTTTTATAATACCCTGTTTTTAAAATTTCTGAGGAGTAGAAACTTTTAGGTCTTTTTCTAATAAAGGTACTACCATATTTATGATTCAGAAGTTTTCTTTTTGCTATCGTTTGTAAATGTTTTTTACATTTATACTCTCGCCGTATGTGAATATCACTTGAAAATTTGAGATAGGGATGAGGGACTACCTTTGCAAAGCTTTTTTTTTCAGCATCCCCAGTGCATTTGACTTGCTTTCGTCTTGATCTTTTTTTGGTGCAAGTTTCTAACTTATCTAGGAGAACCCTGATTTCCAGCAAACTCTTCTTTTTCTTCTCCTTCTCCTCTTTTTTACTAAAAATCTACCCTGCTAGAGCCGATGTTAAGCAGTTTATATGCATTATCTTTGTGGTCTTCAGAAAAACACTGAAAATAGAAATGATTACTGCCCTCTTTTTTTTTTTTTACTGCAGAGATGAAGGAACTATAACTTTTTAAAAATCTGTCTATGCTGCCAGGCAAATGCTATTTATTCTGCAAATCTCCACTCATTTTCCACTTCTCTCCTAATTTTCTTGACCCTTTTTGAGCAGAATTAATTTTTAAGCATCAATATTTCTATTGCCCTTTATGCCTATATCTGTTTTTGCTATGTAACAAATTTTGTCGTAGTTTTAGAATGTGTAATAGAAAGACAGCAGACTTTGGTATATGTCAGATCCGGATCTGAATCCTAATTCTGCCTCTTACTAGCAGAATACATTACCCTCTGCCAGCGGCAGCATTATTATTTCTATTTGGAA